TATTTTGTTAGACATCCGTCATCTTGCGTGAATGGGTGGTCACGTGACTACCATGGGGGGGGGGGGTAGAGAAAAATTACTCAGTGTTAAAGGAACATCCAAAACCAGGGTCCCGAAATTTTTTTTAAAGAAAAGTAATTATTAAAACATATAAATATATATATATATATATATATATATATATATATATATATATAAAATAATTACTATAACGTTATTAGATTATATTAGGCGAGATTCTTCTTTTTAAAAGAAATAATGGAAGCATTCACGTTCTTGTTCGTGATATCTTTGTAACATTAAACATAATGGTGGAGGGTGAGGGGGGAGATTACAGATGCCAGATACTGCCGCATCATCCTTATACTTTCCTTTTGGTGTAAAGTGTACTATATTGACTTCTTACGGATGCCTCTGTAATTCTGTTTTTGTCACGATAATTTTTAACTTCTAACCAACGATAAGTTAAAAATGACTATCCATATATACAGTATATATAAACAAATGTATGTAATACCTGAAGGGTGGAAACATTTTTAATTATATTATTTCACATAGATAACACTGAAGATTAGACAGCCAGCTTATTACACCTGAAGATAAGACACCCTCGCTTATTTCACTTGAAGATTAGAAACACCAGCTTATTTATCCTTAAGATTAAACACCCCAGCTTATTTCACCTGATGATTAAAACACTGCAGCTTATTTCACTTGAAGATTGGACACCCAACTTATTTGACCTGATGGTTAGACACCCTAGCTTATTTCACCTTTAGATTAGACACCCCAGCTTATTTCATATAAAGATTAGACAAGCTTATTTATTATAAGATTAGACACTCGTGCGTATTTAACCTGAAAATTAGACACCCAGCTTATTTCACCTGAAGGTTAGACACCCTAGCTTATTTCACCTGAAGATTAAACACCCCAGCTTATTTCACCTGAAGATTAAACACCCCAGCTTATTTCATTTACAGATTAGACTCCCCAGCTTATTTTACCTAAAGATTAGACACCCAAACTTATTTTACCTGATGATTATTTAAGCAAATATACGAACATTTGGAAACTTCACAATCACCATTACATACAGCCTTACTTTACCAGGTATTGCCAGGTAAAATTGTAAGTACGAGACCCAGGTTGGGGTCGCTGGATCCTTGGCTGATTGTACGTGATAATTTTTAATTTATGTTCCTAGAGTTAAAAATGTAAACTTCATATAGCAAGCACAAATTACGAACAAAATGAAGATGTTTAAGATCAGCCTAGTCAGCCTCATCACGATGGAATGGAATGTGGCTCCATTTAAAACCTTATCAATTATTTCTAAGTGACACTACAGCTGAGAACCAAACTGGAGTACAATATTTAAGGATGGATAAAGAAATGAAGTAAAACAAAATGAAATGTAATGATATTAACATTCTGAAACTTAAATCAATTACCAAATAAAAAGAATCTTGAAATACTGACGAGGCTACAAAATAAATGTGATTAGGTTAGGTTAGGAATTCTTGCCAAAGTAGTCACTTGCTAAAAGGTAAGGCCATATTTCAGGATGGATGAAAATGTACCTTTTTGTATAACTTTGCCCTTCTCTTGAATAAGGCCAACAAGTGCACAGCGCTATTTAAAGGACAGCGGTACGCTCCTTTCATGGCTGCTCATATTTCCTGCGCCTTCTCACTCTGTTTTGTTGTGTCAGCTGACCCGCTGCACACCAACAAAATATAACCTTCAAATCAAACCAGAAAATAAAACTGTAATTTCTATATCCCATAGATATCCGCTTTACATCTTTGTGTTCGTTTGGTCATATGATGTGGGTTTTTTTTTTTAAGTGCTGATTACAATTTTTTTTTTTTTTTGAGTGAAATATTATTAGGGGTATTCAATGCCTGGGTTATGGTAACAGTGGGACCATCCAGCCGATTTGGAAATGTTGGCAGCCCTGCCCGGTTCATCGGAAACCCTACCCATCGTATTGCCCGAAGCACGTTCTTGAATGGCCTCGCCTCACTCAAGCATATGGTGCTCAATGGCCATGCTCATCATTGGGCATGACTACAGTACTGTACTGTGAATACGACCCTAAAGGTGTTATCCTATGTGACACTACCAAACATGGCAGGTTATTTCCACCGGTACTGTACTAACACTGGACAATAAAAGCCATAACAATGTAACAAAGAACTTACCAACCGATAATGGACAATTACAAATAAATAATGAAATGATAAATAAATAAATAAATAAATAAACACTTAATTCACAGAAAACAGAAAAAATATAAAGGGGCGATTTTTAAGCTGGGACTCTACTATATGAGTAAACTTAATAATTTCAATCTATTCCTGTATCAAACTATTATCAGTTGTTTGGACGGTCGGTCTTTTCTGTGTTAGTTTGTCAAGACCTTCAATGCATAGTGTTAGTACAAGAGAAAACCTGCCATGTTTGGTAGTGAAGGCCATCCTCCATGGTCCAGTGTTAGTACAGGAGGAAACTGTAGTACCCAGAGAAAACCTGCCATGTTTGGTAGTGAAGGCCATCCTCCGTGGTCCAGTGTTAGTACAGGAGGAAACTGTAGTACCCAGAGAAAACCTGCCATGTTTGGTAGTGAAGGCCATCCTCCGTGGTCCAGTGTTAGTACAGGAGGAAACTGTAGTACCCAGAGAAAACCTGCCATGTTTGGTAGGGTCACACTGCTTAACATCCTTCTCACACATGATCTGGGCCAGGGATTGAACCCAGGATGAAATTAAGCGGCACATTAAGGCGGTATCACACCTTATGACAGCATATCGACGTCTTTCAATCATACCTTATGCAGTCATCAATCGTCAACCACCAAAACAACATAGATGGCAGACCTACACTTGACTGCAACCTTTTTCTCTCAGACTGGTGTCCCACAGCACTGGAAAATTTATCTATATTGCTATTAGGACAGTCTCTATCTTTCACAGTCAGCAAACCCATCTTAAAATTGGTGGAATGTTCTCAAGCCATTACAGAGCCCAAAATAAGCAGTTAAATGAAGACATCCTATTTATTTGTTATGCTTATACAGTATATTATGTTGCTGGTAGTATAAATTACCAAAGCATATAATTTACTCTGTAAAACATTGGGATATATAATTTTTAACAAACTAGAATACTGTATCAAGTAATCTATCTCACATGACACCGTTACTTCTGTAGGTGTCCAAGGTACAGTATCCCATAATTTAGGCAGATCGTGGACCTTCAATCTTGAAACATTTAGGTACTTAGAGGGTCCATGGAAATAATGGATTTGTAGAAGCTGAACGGTAAATCTGGCCAGTGTGGTAGCAGCTTTAATAAAGAACCATGGTAGGCTTAGTGTTACTAGGAGAACGTGATAACTTGGTAGACAGATACAGACAGACAAATAGAGGTTTGTAACCTATACCTAAACTGATATAACGAGAAAATAAAACAAATGAATACAGTGATCCCTCGGTTAACGAATTACCTTCCATAAAAACCTTCAATTCGGTTAACGAAACTTTTACAAAATCATGTCAACATGTTTTCGCTTGCTCACCAGCTGGAATATTAGTCCGCCAACACAGTAATCGGTTCTAGGGCTTAAATTCGTTCCCATTTGAGTAAATATCAAGAAGGTTGTACTATTCAATAATTTTCCAAGTTTTATATTAAATTTTTTAGTAATTTTAACACTTATTTAACCTAATTGCAGTACAGGAAACTAGTTTTTGGTGCACCAATCAGACACTTGACTCACCCAGCAAGGCATCAGTTTGTATCTCTGGTCAGTGGAGGTAACATCTTGCTTGTGGCTCTCTTGAACATAAACTATTTTTACGTTTTTACAGTACAATTATTGGTCATTCTGAAATTTATTTTACATATTGACAATATATAGTGCAGTGCAGTATTGATTTAAAGAAAATAATCTTGAATTACACCGAGTGATCTTAAAATTTTATGGGTGAAACGACGGCATCAATCATGGGGTGATTTCTCTTCCATCCCCACTTCCTTCTCTTCTCCCTTCTCCTCCACCCCCACTTCTAATTCCCATCATCATCATCATCATCAACCAGGAGCCTTCTACATGCACACCTCAAAGTAAGTGTACTTTACTGCATTTATTTTTACTTTGTATGTAATTTTCGGTGAGCTGGAACCAATTACCCAAAATCCCATTGAAACAATGGTTTCGGTTAACGAAATTTTCGGTTAACGAATGATCTTCTGGAACGAATTGTGTTCGTTAACCGAGGGACCACTGTACAGTATACTGTAGAGAGATAGCAATTATAGTAAATGATAGTAATAATATTGAATGTAGATTAACAATTACAGGATTAAAAACAAAGAGATATACACATAAAAGCAATGGGCTGTATAGATGCAGTGAGGTTATCCTCATCTTTTGGATATGAGTATGCTAGCGGTCAACTGCCAGATAGTCATTACCGCCGATATAGACAGTGGAGTGACGGAAATACAATACCAAACCATGAGTTAGAAGGGAGGGACGATGGTGGAGGCATAGGGGAGGGAGAGAGATAGAATTGAGCTTTTTCCACTCCTGGACATGTGATTGAGCAGTTACCAGACCAATTAGGGCGCACACTGTGCTAACCTTTATGGTGTATACGAATATATGTGGGCGACTGTACATTGAATACCTGGACTGTCTATGTGCATTGAATACCTGCACTGAATGTCTATGTACATTGTATACCTGCATTGTCTATGTAAAGTTCAACATAAAAAATTGTGGTAGACTGGAGGTGGAAGGAGCAAAACCCATTCCACCCTTACTTGCAGCTGACCCTCTTCACCATCACACACTGATGATGGGACAGTTTGACAGGTGTGGAGGTGGAGCTGCTGACATACTTGGTAAGGTATGTCATCAGTGTCCTGTATTTCACATGCTCTACTTATGGTACAGTACTATAAAGGTTAATATCTAATAATGTTAACAAATGCAGCATCTAACTCTTTTATTAAGGCACATGATAAAGTATTTACTACAAGAGAAGAAGCCTACACCCACTTTGTTAAAAAAAAAAATTATATAAACTTCAATTTTTTCCTTAATAATATTAACCCTTTTGTTGAAATGGCTGCACTAATTGTGGTGTGTAGTGGTCCTCACACTGTACTACTGTAGTGGTCCTCACACTTTCTTTATCTGGTTTATGAGTGCCAGGACGTGAACATCTCTAGTGTTTAGTTTATAAGTTAATACTGTATGAGAAAAAGTGCTAGTTAACAGTGAACATGAATAAAACAAGGTTTTATAAGTGGATAAGTGTTACTTATAGTGAACATGAGTATAATGAAGGTTTATAAGTGACAAAGTGTCAGTTAACAGTGTACATTAGTAAAATAAGGTTTTAAGTGTTAGTTAACAGTGTACATTATTAAAATAATGTTTAAGTGTTAGTTAACAGTGTACATTATTAAAATAATGTTTTATAAGTGTTAGTTAACAGTGTACATTAGTAAAATAAGGTTTTAAGTGTTAGTTTACAGTGTACATTATTAAAACAAGGTTTTATAAGTGTTAGTTAACAGTGTACATTATTTAAATAAGATTAAACATTCTCATGAGTTTTTCCCATATACCGTACACACTACTGTAGTACTTCTCCATTACACGAGCAGGTTCAACAATCTTGTCATCGATCACAACAAAAGGGTTAATACTCGTCTATAAGCCCTGTGCTGCATTTAGCTGCATGATCTAATTTATGGAAGCATTGTCAAAAGAGACAGACATGTGTGTGGTCAACCAACTCACACAGTCTCCTGTCATCATTCACAAAATTCATATTCATTATGTTTTGTCTAGCAATTTTAAGTTTTACAAGTTCCCTAAATGTACATTGTTATCATGTTTAGTACATTGTTATCATTGCTTAGTACATTGCTATCATGTTTAGTACATTGCTATCATGTTCAGTACATTATTAGCATTTTCACATTGTTAATATGTTCACTAAGATGTACTGTATATTGCTAATATGTTAAATACATTAACATGTTCAGTTCAGTTAACTAATAACAATCAGGAGAACTGCTGTAGGTGACACATTGCATCCCTCTTGACCATAAAGAAAATAAGTAACTCTTTCAGCCAACAATAAGACCAAAGCTCAGCAACAAAAGCCTCTTATAACAACATTCACTTCTCTGCAACTCCCTTTAACTGAGGTTGTATAATCTTGAAGAAAAAGTTGGAAATGGGAGCATAGAAACGCTCACCGATAACACTGGAGAAACCTGCTTCGTTGATGGCAGATAACATATCACGGTTCAGGCAGCAACCGTCGAATAACAATGGCCATATGCCAGTTTCTGTGAGGAAGTCTTGTAGCTTCTGTCTTATGCCGTACTTCTCAGAGTCAAATTCCCGTATGTGCTCCAAAAAGTAGAACTTTCCACCCTGGAATTAAAACCAAAGAACAATATTAGTGAAACACAGTATATCTGATAACCCATAACATGTTAAAAGGTACTTTGGCTACTCTACAAAAGTCACCACACAACAGTACACTTGGTGGTTGTGAGTTACAGAGCATCAACTGTCAGTCTTCTCAAGTGTTTCCTTCACTTAGGCGCTTAAAATTTTTAAGAGATTGAGACTCGTTTTTTTCATGGGATTTAGAATTGTCAATTAGCAGTCATTGGGAATCATTATTCCTCAGACATCAATATTCACTCTCACATCAATATTCACTCTCACATCATTATTCCTCTCACATCATTATTCCTCACACATCATTATTCCTCACACATCAATATTCCTCACACATCAATATTCCTCACACATCATTATTCCTCACACATCATTATTCCTCACACATCATTATTCCTCACACATCATTATTCCTCACACATCATTATTCCTCACACATCAATATTCCTCACACATCAATATTCCTCACACATCAATATTCCTCACACATCAATATTCCTCACACATCATTATTCCTCACACATCATTATTCCTCACACATCATTATTCCTCACACATCATTATTCCTCACACATCATTATTCCTCTTACAGGAACAAGAACACAACTTACAGGTACAAGAACACAACTTACAGGAACACGAACACAACTTACAGGTACAAGAACACAACTTACAACAACAAGAACACAACTTACAGGAACACGAACACAACTTACAGGTACAAGAACACAACTTACAGGTACAAGAACACATCTTACAGCAACAAGAACACAACTTACAGGTACAAGAACACAACTTACAGGTACAAGAACACAACTTACAGGTACAAGAACACAACTTACAGGTACAAGAACACAACTTACAGGTACAAGAACACAACTTACAGGTACAAGAACACAACTTACAGGTACAAGAACACGTAGTATTTGTTGCAGGATCTTGTCAGTGTGACCAACACTACACAAGACCAGCGTCATCACCACAACATCTACACTGTTACTCTCAACTTGGTCCATCTCCTCACCTGCGAAATAAATAAATATAAATAACAGTATATATATGATGTTTATTACTTATGATAATGATTGGCCTTTATCTTTATACAGGGTGTCTCGAAAAATGGTGTACACAGTCACCATCCTTCATCACTATACATACATACGTACGCAAGTAAATCACTGTAGGTGTGCGTGATCCAGGTATATGCTGATAACCACAAGGAAAATGAAAACACGAAGTTCCCAAGAAGATTTGTAACCAGGTGAGAAGGTTGGGTCAGCTTACCCTCTGACCTGACTACGGACCAATGCGGTGCTTTTGTGAAAATTAGTAGGGTCATTACCTATACCTGACCACTGTGGACTTGATCTCACCCTCCTCTGTATATATATAACTTGTTCTGTACTTCTCCTTAGTTTGTACTCACCCCTGAAGATGTGAATTACACGAAAGCACTTGGGAACTTCGTGTTTTCTTTTTCCTTGTGGTTATCAGCATATACATACATACATACATATATATTTATTTATGTATTTATTTATTTAATTATTTATTTATTTATTTATTTATTTAATTACTGTACTGTACTGGGTGTCTCAGAAAAATATATACTGAAGCACAGTTTTATGAATGAATGCCCTTCCTAATTAATGCCAACCCACTGGGTGAGAACAGCTGGCAAGGCAGGGTCACAACTCACTATGATAATCAAGACTACTGTACTCTCTATGATGCTGTCAATATTTTTCAAGAGGAGTAAGCCTCTAAGATGTCTGATAACCACCGACGGGTCAAGACGCACCTGGCACTGCTCTAGCAGCAGCCACATCAACTATTATGTTGGCCCATACCAACTCCCTCCCCTGAACCCTTCTCTCTACCGGAATATCAACAAGTTCTCGCCAGAAGTTACTATTTCATTTGGGAAAGGAATGGAACCAGTGTTGAATAGTGGTGAACAGTGCTTAAGTCAGTGAAAAATAACTCGTCAGTCACAGTTGAGTCTTACCCAAGCTAACCTTCACACAGTGAGGTCCCAGGTACCCAGTGATAATTCCCCTGAGACTCCACGATAGGGAGGCCTGGGACCACACCTCACTGTTGTCACTCCTGTGACAACAGACCACGTGGTGTCCCCATGATGCTACGACACCACGTAGTGAATGAGTTGCTACAGCATCATGTGAGGTTCCTCATAACACCATCTGTGAGGGAATTGTTACACCACATCAGGCCCCTTATACACCATCTATGAGGGATTTACTACACCACATCAGGCCCCTCATAACACCATCTGTGAGGGAATTACTACATCATCAGGCCCCTTATAACACCATCTGTGAGGGAATCACTACATCATCAGGCCCCTTATAACACCATCTGTGAGGGATTTACTACATCATCAGGCCCCTCATAACACCATTTGTGAGGGAATTACTACACCACGTGATGCCCCTCATAATGCCATCTGTGAGGGAGTTACTACACTACGTGTCTGCTGTTCAACACCTCAGCTCACATGATCTACGTGACCTCCACTGTAAACATTAATCTGTATGTTTACTGTATGTTCCTTCACCTTTCTCTAATGAAGCCTTTTGTTAAACCACCAACGTATGTAATAAGTCATTTATGTCCAATGTATATTTTCAGCCTTTGGGCTGCAAAACTTTTTCAATAAACAGTTTATTATTATTATTATTATTATTATTATTATTATTATTATTATTTATAACAGAGCATGGTGTACCTTACAGCAGGAAGGAAGAGTATGTATGGTTTAGTTCTGGTCACAGCAGAACTGGAGAAGAAAAACCTTCTTTTTCAAATAAAATATAGTTTCCATCTTACCAGTGGTCACTATGATGTCCTGTGAGTGAATGTTTGGGAACTTCTTCCTGTTGTCATTGTAATATTTCACGAAGTGTGGGTTGGGATCCACCACTGTCAGGTGACTGCCATTTGGATAGTGAGAGAAATTAACACCTGCAGAGAAATAATGTGTCAATCAATTGCACAATACTGTACTGTACATACTGTGTACAAGAACCCTTCTAATCTGCCACCCTCGCAACCTAACTGCTGCCACACTATCTGAACCACACAAGGTCAGCTCAAAACTGGCAAAAAATCATCTTTTTTACCAATATATGAAACAGAAATACAGTACAGTATTGTACTGTACAGTCAAAGAAAAAGTTACGATACACTTACTGTGCCTTATATTCTGAAACCCACGATGGAGAATTTGGGTAAAGTTCCCCGTGTAGACTCGAACCTTAAAGCTTGGCCGTCACTTTACCCAAACTCTTGGTCATAGGTTGTGGAACATAATGCTAGGGGGGAGTAACACTACTTCTTTCCCTGACTGTACTGTACATACAGGTAAGAAAAGTCTACTCAGTTAATGCTAGAAACTGACTAAGTGTTCCTGGTGACAATAAACAATGGTCCCTCGATTAACGAAAACAATTGGTTCCACAGAGTCGTTTGTTAACCGAACATTTCGTTAACTGAATCTATTATTTCAATGGGATATTGGGTAATTGATTCCAACTCACAGAAAAAGTACATACAAAGTACTGTATACCAGTAATAGAATTTTCAAAATATTAAATGTAAACTAAATACAGTACTGTACTGTACAGTACAGTATACTGTATAATAATAAATAAAAACAATAGAATACTATAGTTTAACTTACTTTGAGGTGTGTATGTCATATTACCAGCAGTTATGTTTACATATCAAACAGCTGATTGTAGAGACAGTCGATGATGACATGCCATATTCTTTACAGTGTGCATTGGTTCTAATGCCTTCTTCATGTTTCATAATAATTTCTGCACTGTATATTTTCAATATGTTAACTAAATTTCAGAATGACCAATAATTTTAATGTAAAAATGCAAAACTATTCAAGAGACCCACAAACTGGATGTTCACTCCACTGTAAACAAAGTTAAACTGAGAAGCATTGGTGGGTGATTCGATCAGCTGATTGACACACAAAAACTGTTCCCTGTAATGTATATATTATTAATATATTAACTAAATTAGAATGACCAATAATTTTAATAAAAAAAATGCCATAATATTCAAGAGCACAACTTTCTTGATATTTACTCCACTGGAAATGAATGTAAACATAGAATCGATTACTGTATTGGTGGACTAGCCAATCAGCTGCTGCGCACAACAAAGCTTGTTTCTCATAAGGCTGTTGTTAATCGAAGTTTTGTTCATTAATGGAATTGAAAATCCTTATGGTAGCTAATTCGTTAACTGAAATTTCGTTAATTGGACCGTTCGTTAATCGAGGGACCACTGTACCTGTAATGTAAAACATAAGAGTAAATAATCTTGCCATCACAAAACAAACTCAGCTATGAGATATATGGGATGTTTTTTCCTTGGTAGCTCTGCAGATACCACACGTTGAAAGACATTATTTTCTAAAACTAACAGCAAACGTCTGCGATGCGTAGACAGCATGTTAATGCTGGCAAGACGCTGGCAGTTGGGACAAACGTTGCTTTGGAAAGTAGCTCGTGCATCTACGCCTTGATCGCTCGATGCCACAAGACGCTCGCACATGGGACATAGCCTTAAAGTTCAATCACAATCCCAGTACTGCACTGTCTAAAACAATGTACAGTACAGTACATAAACGGTGCCAGTAAACAAACAATGGACACAAACAGTGGCAGTATACAAACAATGTATAAACAGTGCCAGTATACAAACAATGTATAAACAGTGCCAGTATACAAACAATGTATAAACAGTGGCAGTATACAAACAATGTATAAACAGTGCCAGTATACAAACAATGTATAAACAGTGCCAGTATACAAACAATGTATAAACACAGTGCCAGTATACAAACAAGTGCCAGTATACAAACCAGGGCAGTATACAAACAATGTATAAACAGTGCCAGTATACAAACAATGTATAAACAGTGCCAGTATACAAACAATGTATAAACAGTGGCAGTATACAAACAATGTATAAACAGTGCCAGTATACAAACAATGTATAAACAGTGGCAGTATACAAACAATGTATAAACAGTGCCAGTAAACAAACAATGTATACACAGTGCCAGTATACAAACAATGTATAAACAGTGCCAGTATACAAACAATGTATAAACAGTGCCAGTATACAAACAATGTATAAACAGTGGCAGTATACAAACAATGTATAAACAGTGGCAGTATACAAACAATGTATAAACAGTGCCAGTATACAAACAATGTATAAACAGTGCCAGTATACAAACAATGTATAAACAGTGCCAGTATACAAACAATGTATAAACAGTGGCCGTATACAAACAATGTATAAACAGTGGCAGTATACAAACAATGTATAAACAGTGGCAGTATACAAACAATGTATAAACAGTGCCAGTAAACAAACAATGTATAAACAGTGGCAGTATACAAACAATGTATAAACAGTGGCAGTATACAAACAATGTATACACAGTGCCAGTATACAAACAATGTATAAACAGTGCCAGTATACAAACAATGTATAAACAGTGCCAGTATACAAACAATGTATAAACAGTGGCAGTATACAAACAATGTATAAACAGTGGCAGTATACAAACAATGTATAAACAGTGCCAGTATACAAACAATGTATAAACAGTGCCAGTATACAAACAATGTATAAACAGTGCCAGTATACAAACAATGTATAAACAGTGGCCGTATACAAACAATGTATAAACAGTGGCAGTATACAAACAATGTATAAACAGTGGCAGTATACAAACAATGTATAAACAGTAGTAAACAGTGCCAGTAAACAAACAATGTATAAACAGTGGCAGTATACAAACAATGTATAAACAGTGGCAGTATACAAACAATGTATACACAGTGCCAGTATACAAACAATGTATAAACAGTGCCAGTATACAAACAATGTATAAACAGTGGCAGTATACAAACAATGTATAAACAGTGGCAGTATACAAACAATGTATAAACAGTGGCAGTATACAAACAATGTATAAACAGTGCCAGTAAACAAACAATGTATAAACAGTGGCAGTATACAAACAATGTATAAACAGTGCCAGTATACAAACAATGTATAAACAGTGCCAGTATACAAACAATGTATAAACAGTGCCAGTATACAAACAATGTATAAACAGTGCCAGTATACAAACAATGTATAAACAGTGCCAGTATACAAACAATGTATAAACAGTGGCAGTATACAAACAATGTATAAACAGTGCCAGTATACAAACAATGTATAAACAGTGCCAGTATACAAACAATGTATAAACAGTGCCAGTAAACAAACAATGTATAAACAGTGCCAGTATACAAACAATGTATAAACAGTGCCAGTAAACAAACAATGTATAAACAGTGCCAGTATACAAACAATGTATAAACAGTGCCAGTATACAAACAATGTATAAACAGTGCCAGTATACAAACAATGTATAAACAGTGCCAGTATACAAACAATGTATAAACAGTGCCAGTACAATGTATAAGCAGTGCCAGTATACAATGTATAAGTATTGCCGGTGTACAATGTATAAACAGTGCCAAGTGAATAATATAAACAGTGCCAGTATACAATGTATAAGCAGTGCCAGTGTACAATGTATAAACAGTGCCAGTATACAATGTATAAGCAGTGCCAGTATACAATGTATAAACAGTGCCAGTGTACAATGTATAAACAGTGCCAGTATACAATGTATAAACAGTGCCAGTATACAATGTATAAACAGTGCCAGTGTACAATGTATAAACAGTGCCAGTATACAATGTATAAACAGTGCCAGTATACAATGTATAAACAGTGCCAGTGTACAATGTATAAACAGTGCCAGTATACAATGTATAAACAGTGCCAGTATACAATGTATAAACAGTGCCAGTGTATACAATGTATAAACAGTGCCAGTATACAATGTATAAACAGTGCCAGTATACAATGTATAAACAGTGCCAGTGTACAATGTATAAACAGTGCCAGTATACAATGTATAAACAGTGCCAGTATACAAAGTATAAACAGTGCCAGTATACAATGTATAAACAGTGCCAGTATACGATGTATAAACAGTGCCAGTATACGATGTATAAACAGTGCCAGTATACAATGTATAAACAGTGCCAGTATACAATGTATAAACAGTGCCAGTATACAATGTATAAACAGTGCTAGTATACGATGTATAAACAGTGCCAGTGTACACTGTATAAACAGTGCCAGTATACAATGTATAAACCGTACCAGTATACAATGTAAAAACAGTGCCAGTATACAATGTATAAACAGTGCCAGTATACAATGTATAAACAGTGCCAGTATACAATGTGTAAACAGTGCCAGTATACAATGTGTAAACAGTGCCAATATACACATCAAGTAACTCACCAGTTCCAACACCAACCTCCAAGATCTTGATGGCTTTATTCTTCCTCAGTTGTGGGTCATGAGATACTATGGCTCCCAGGCTGGCAAACAAATCCTTCTTAACCTCTTCAAGCTTAGCATCTTTTTCCTTGGTTAAACGAGACATGATGAAAGCAAACCACCTGAAAATATTAACTTTAAATTATCTTTGTGACACTTTAAACACAAAGACCCCAAGCAAAAATGTTAAATCCAAGATCAACCTTATATTTGTCAAAGCTTTATACAGTAGCTACTGAAAATTTTTCATTGCTAATACAGTAGTTTATATTTGCTTCTAATAATTACACTAGCTTTATATTGAAGGCAATATAACCAGTGATGGGCATCGATACACTAAATTGTCTTAGGCAATACCGATACATCGATACTAGGAAATAATCTTGAGCGATACCGATACATTGATACTAGGAAATAATCTTGAGCGATACCGATACATCGATACTCGGAAATAATCTTGAGCGATACCGATACATTGATACTAGGAAATAATCTTGAGCGATACCGATACATTGATACTAGGAAATAATCTTGAGCGATACCGATACATTGATACTAGGAAATAATCTTGAGCGATACCGATACATTGATACTTTGTAGATGGTTAAAGTGATACTGATACATGTACAGTCAGTTCTGCTACAACGTGATAGTTGTGGTCTTGTAAAACCTCGTGTTGTAGAAAATCGCGTTATAGAAATAACAGGGCTTATGGAAGAAATAGGGTTAGGTGCAGATTACTCGAAATGGAAAAAAATTTAGTAGTTAGCCTAACACAAAGGATAGCACAGTCTAAATAAATGTTACATTCATATCTAATAATGAATTAATACAGTAAATGTAACACTTTACCTTGAAAAAATATGAATATAACATGATGGGGGAGAAGGGTGATTTTGAGGTTGATAACATCGAGCTTCTCTTCAAGTGTTATAGCCTTTCTTTTACGATAATCACCGGGAATGCGATCACCAGAACGCTTCTTGGAGATATTCTTCTTTACCATACTCACAGATAATACCACAAAATTGGAGAAATAGTAAGTAAAAATCGCGTTACAGCAAACAAGCGTTCGCATTATACAAATATCGTTCCTCTATTCATAAATCGCGTTAGAGCCAATTCGCGTTGTCAAAACATGCGTTATAGCAGAACTCAGTGTATAATAATAAATAAAAACAATAGAATACAGGTAGTCCCCAGGGGGGATTCTACGGGGAAGCCAGGGGGGCCCCCCCCCAGATTTTGGGCTGGCCCTGGGTTGGCCCCCACCTTTTATTCTCAAAATTGTAATTCCAAAAACATTCCCAAAACTGAGTAACATCGCGCAACTATCGATTGAAAGTGCACGCGCTGAGGGAATTGATTTAGATTGTTTTGTCGACGAGTTTGGCAGCCGACATAATAATCGTAAGATTAAGCTGCACTGAATATACTGCTACCGTCACGGTACCGTGTGAACTGAAACCACACCATTGCCATTTGCCATTGGTTATAATGTAACAGTTGCATGCGGCGCCCATGTCTGAAAACGTAAACGTTGTCTCCATAATCTCCATTATGTGTGAAGCGTGAGATCATTTATTTTTTTGCTGATGTACGCACGTACATACATTGTAAAGACACTGCTATATTTTTCAATGTTTGTTATGTGGTACACCCGCCCTTTGTGTGACTATGTGAGCAATAGTACAGTTTCAGAGATATGTTCAAGTGTGTCAATACTCCAATGAATCATGATTAGTGGAATAAGAGCGTTGCCATTATACCGCCATATGCTGATTATTTTAGGCTGGCGTCATGAGAGACGTCACTTCACATTTGTCAATCAAATTGGTGTAATAATGCCAAAACTGCATCTTGCAAGTTGTACACAGGTTTGGTTTTGCCCCCCCCCCCCAACATTTACCTTGGCCCCAAAGTGGCCCCCCCACTTTCCGAAGGCTAGAAACGCCACTGGTAGTCCCCGCCTTATGACTGCTTGGACTTACGTCCATCGGTACTTACGACCTGCTCTGACCTTACGACCGTCGGGACATACGACCGCAGCAGTCGTGACCAAAAATATTTTCAAATGACGCGCGCATTTTCTATACCGAAACGTTTCTGTCCCGGGTGAGAGCGTGGCTTGGCTCAGGTCGCCGCGTGGGTACACTCACTCAGTGGAGCGCTTAGTTGGTGTTTGGCTATCGTATCCTATACTGATCGCGTTATTATCATATTTAATTGACTTTATAATGACTGGAAAGCGTAAAAGTGAGAGTGCTGGTGGTGCTCCAAAGAAAAGGAGACAGGCAATTACTTTTGAGATGAAAATGAAGATAATAACTCAGCATGAGAATGGAAAAACTGTAGCAACAATCTCACGCGACCTAGGTTTCTCACACTCAACCATATCCACTATTCTGAAGGACAAGGAACGTATTCGTGATGTAGTGAAAGGAACAACACCTATAAAGGGAACTATAATTTCAAAGAAAAGACAAGGTCCTATTCACGATATGGAAAATTTATTGGTGATATGGATAGAAGACCAGATACAGAAGCATGTACCCTTAAGCCTTCTAACCATACAGGCTAAAGCAAGACGCCTGTTCCAAAGCCTGAAGGAGCAGGCAGGAGATGAATGTGATCAAACCTTTACAGGAAGTCATGGGTGGTTTGATAGATTTAAAAAACGCTACAGTCTACACAATGTTAAGGTGAGTGGAGAGGCAGCTAGTGCCGATGTTGGTGCTGCCGAAGCTTTTAAGGAGGAGTTAGATGATGTGAATGTGGAAGGGAATTATTTGCCTGAGCAAATATTCAATGTGGATGAGACTGGATTATTGTGGAAGCGCATGCCTGACCGGACATACAGTTTCAAAGGAGTTAATGAAAATGAAGTTATTTCAGATATTAGTAACAGGAAAGTGGAGTTAAGTAAACAGCTGGAGTTAGAAATTGATAATGAAGATGTTGAACAGTTGGTTGAAAGTGTAGCAGAAGAGCTCAGTAACGAGGATCTTATTGAACTAGATGCACAGAAAATTGCAGAGGGAGAAGAGAGACAAAATGTAGAAGAAGAACCTGCACCCCACCAAAAAGTTTTCAGTGAAACAAATGGCAGAGGCATTTGCTACAATTAATAAAGGAATGCAAAAGTTTGATGGCATGGATCAAAATTATGAGCGTTATGCCAAAGTTGACAGAATGATCCAAGATGCACTTGCTTGCTACAGAGAAATTTATAATGAATAGAAAACACAAACTGTGCAGTCTAAATTGGACATATATTTTAAGAAGTCCCCCAGTGCTGTCTCCTCACGCCCCACCAGTGCTGCCTCTTCACTCCCTCAAGATGATCCAATACCTTCAACCAGCAAGTTTCCACAGTGCATAAACCTGTCTGAAGAAAGCGACATTGATGACCCACCCAGCCCTGTCTCCTCCTCTGCTTCATCCAATTAACATACCGGTAGTCTCCATGTATCTTGTAAATAGAAAATTATGGGGGCCCCGTGTGCATTCAGCTGACTACATTAAAGGTAAGTGCTTAGTCACACTGTATCCATTCCTCATTATTTATTACTTTTACTGTACTGTATTTCATTGTAGATTTTTTATTTGTTTTTTGGTTTTTTTAATTTTGAAATTTTATTTATTTATTTTTTTTTTTTAATCTATGTCGGACTTACGACCTGGATTTGGGTCCCTAACCCCGTCGTAAGTCGGGGAGCACCTGTACTGTATTTTAACTTATTTGAGGTGTGTTGTATAACCGGCAGCTATGTTTACATATCAAACAGATGATTGTAGAGGCAGTCGATGATGACATGCCATATTCTTTACAGAGTGTATTGGTTCTAATCCCTTCTTCATGTTTCAGTGAACCCTCACTTTACGCGGTCAATTGAATCCACGGAGGCCCGCGTAAAGCAAGAAACGCGTAAAGTGAACAACATAACATATGGGATTAAATGAAATAGAGACCAGCTGACCCCCAAACTCCACTTTTTCCGACACAATACCTATGTTCTAGTAAAAATAACATCTTAATTTTATGATGGTACATGCACACAATTAATACTTAAGAGAAATAGAGAAATACAGTCGCCAAGTTAATGTCCATTCAAATAATGGACTCAACTCCCTCCCCCTCTTCTCACACTCCCTGGCTCTTCCCTCTCTGAGAAATGTTTGGGGGAAAACCACTAGATTTTAAGGTATAGTAATAAATAATACCTCAAACTAAAGTTAGGATAATATAATTGACATTGCTGGATTCCTTGTAAGACTAGGAATATTTTGAATATATATGTCATATATTTTGCACAAAAGATAACATATTTACTCAGAGTAAACAAAATACTTAAAGTAGATCTAAAATTTGTATGTCTAATGCAAAATCTATAATGTTTATATTCAAAATGATCATCAAATTGTAAGAATTCCAGCAATGTAAATTATATTCTGGCCAGGTAATTTGTATGAATTTTATGAGCTAAAACAAATATCTTCAGTTAATAAAAAAAAAAAATATTCTTCACGACACTATCTGTCAATCAAAGTACCCCACCTTGCCTCCCCCCCCTCTTCCAACCGCGTGGTCAGTCCCAACCCTCCCCCCCACCCCCCACCAACCCTCCCTACCAGAGAAATGTGTGGGAGAAACCAGAATAGTTACCTTTTTAGTAATAAATAATACCTCAGACTAAAATTAGGATAATATAATTGACATTGCTGGATTCCTTGTAAGACCAGGAATATTTTGAATATAAATGTCATATATTTTGCACAAAAGATAACATATTTGCTCTGAGTAAACAAAATACTTGCACTAGATCTAAAATTTGTATGTCTAATGCAAAATCTATGATGCTTATATTCAAAATGATCATCAAATTGTAAGAATTCCAGCAATGTAAATTATATTCTGGTCGGATAATTTGTATGAATTTTATGAGCTAAATAAAAAAATTATACTTCACCCGCGTATATGAGTAGATGCACCGCGTAAAGTGGGAATTCCGGTTCTGGCAGGGTACCGCGTAAATGTAGAAACGCATAAAGTGAGACCGCGTAAAGCGAGGGTTCACTGTAATAATTTCTGCACTGTATATTATCAATATGTTAACTAAAT